AATTGGCTATGGGCAGGGCACAAAGTAATATGTATAATGGCAAGTCTAGACATATTCGTCGAAGACATAATACCATTAGACAACTACTCTCAACTGGTACAATATCTATTGACTATGTGAAGTCAAAAGATAATCTTGCGGATCCGCTAACCAAAGGGTTAAATAGAGAGTTAGTTGCTAAATCTTTGAGAGGAATGGGACTTAAGCCTCTAGAAATAAGTTGATACAATGGAAAACCCTACCTTGTTGACTGGAGATCCCAAGATCTTAGTTCAAAGGGACAACCTAATTGTAAAATGATTCTAGTGATCATTGTGGTTTATTATCCATTGTTCATTCCTTAAACAGTGATGCCTGTGGTGGAGTAGGATAAGCATTTGGCTTCTAATGATTCTTGTATGGAAAGGTAGTACAAGCTACTTGCAATTAAGAATCACCTATGTGAGAGAGAAGTGGGGCCGCTTCGAAGAGAATTGTGTGAGGCTCAATTCTTAGACCCTCTTACAGAACCAGGCTATGTCCAAGGCCACTAATGGACATAATAATGGGATTGGAATATGTTAGGGAGAATCCTGTGTGAAGTATACTCATCGTTTACACAAAATGCAGAACAGTTCAAAGACATCGCGTCTATTGGTCAGCTAGTAAAGTTAATGTGCTTTCACAAGGGAAGGTTCAAAGGGTAACACCTACCTATTCTATGCAGGTTTCAACTGTTGGACCATAATAATATTTTTCAATTTCATTCATGTAGGGGATTGTTAGAAAATTGTGAATGAAAGTGAATGAAAGTTGCAACTGACATATTAATTTGAAACCATGTTTTCATTTTTTAAAACTTGTAACTTGGTTTGGTTAATGTTGCATTAACTTAGCTATATTAAGTGTTGGAGTAAATACATGAGTTAATGAGCATGGCTTACCTTAATCTATATAAAGGTCTTGTCATCTTTGGAAGAAATAACTCACGAGAAAAAGAAAACAAAAAGTATTGAAAAAATCCATCTCCCCCTTTGTCTTTTATAGTGTTTTGGTCCAGGCATAATTCCAGTTCGCCGGATTAGTTTAATTTTTTTCCGTTGTATCCTGGGAAACAGACGCTCATACGGGACGAATCTATTTTAAGGACACTGTGTTCTCACAGGCTTCGGTATTTTTATTTTAGCCATCTTAATTTTATTTTCCCGATAAAGTTCCCTACAATTTTATTTTTTTCTCTAAATATGTTTAACTTTATAAAATAATAATAATTTCTTATTCATAATACATGTTTCTAACAAATAAAAATATATTAAGATTTTAGATTATAGAAATAAATTATTTCTTATATTATACATATTTCTACAAAAGAAATATAACAATTTTTAAAAACTAAAAATTAATTAATAAAACATGCAGTTAACATGATGTGCAAAATACCAACATGGGTCAGTATCGAGTTGAGATATTTTTTATTTTGATTAATGTGTTTTTACTTTTTAATATGTAATAAGCTATTAAATATCATAAACAGATGGTGTTATAATGAAAAAAAATACATTAAAATAAATCATATTCTCATTTTATACATTCAAACAAAATCCAATAAAATTTCATATATGACATAAGATAGATGATTATAATTGTTATTCTATATTATTAAATAACTTTTTAATTCAGTTTGAGTAATCTAGCCAAAACTACCATAATTATAAAAAATAACTTTTCTTATGTTTTGAGAAAGTTGATAAAATTTATGGAGACATTGTAAGATTACAAAAAAAAGATTTAATTATTAGTTGTAAAATCAAATCAATCAACAGATAAGTTGTTAAAGATTCTTTCTATTGATAATGCTAAAGAGGAAATAAGTAAAAAGGCAAAAATTTACGGAAACTATGTAGTTCTTTTTATTGGAGTTAATTCAAAAGAATGAATTTTAGAGTCGTATCTCAAGGAAAAGACTAGCAAACAAATAACTAAAATAGCAACAAAATAGGATAAACAATTCACCAATATTCGTTCGTCCCGAATAAAAAGAATATAAAACAAAAAACAAGAAATGAGCGTGAAGGACGGTTTCAAACAAGAAAGTTTTCAAATCATTTTACTTAACTGAGATGAATTCCCACACCCACAATTACATACAGTACAAGAAAATAATGAAATTCCAACGGAATATATTCTAATAGAATTATTCCAATGACAAGTTCAATAAATATTTTAATGCTATTATTTCTGTTGAAATTTTCTATGAATTCCAATGGAAATTCCAACAAAAATATTCCGTTAGAATGAGTTTTCCATTGGAATTTCCGTTGAATTTTTACGATTCCAACGGTAGATTTTCCAAGGGGGATAGAAATAAAAATTCCAATAGAATATAGCATATTCCAACGGAAATTTCTAACACATTCCAATGGAAGCTATACCATTAGAATATACGTTAGAATTTTCATTGAAATATATTACCATAGAATTTTCTGTTGGAATATAATAATTTTTTTGTAGTTATATACCACAACTACACACTCGAAAAATTCCTTTGACATGCCACACTCTGAAGTATGAAAACATATGGAGGCTATCGTTCAGTTGCGGAAATCATTATAAAGAATGTTATTTTTTTGGCCTAATTGCAAATAAAATCATGACCTTTAAGCTTTTTGCATTTTAAACCCAACTTTAAGGTAATTGCAAATAAATCGCAACCTTTTTTAAAATTTGCAACTCGAACCCAAAGTTCATCGGCAGCGAGCTCCGTGCCTACGTGTCCGGGCAGACCATCTCACGTGTCCTCACACTTCGCTGACGAGGATGCTACACTGTCACACACACAAATAAAAACGTATCTAAAGTGATCCTTATTCATTTCTTCCCCAATTTAAACCCTAATCGGCCCAATTGTCGAGCTCCTCTCCCAATTGCCGAGCTTCTCGTACCTCTGAAAATATCGTTCTCTTCCCACAAAAGCCAAAGTTCTTGGAGCGGTGGCGGTTCGAACAATGGTCGAAAGGAATGACGTCATGGTGAGGAGGCAGACATCCTGACATCGATGGTGATCGATAATCCATGTAGAAGGTTCTACAAGTGTCGACATAGAAATGTAAATATGTGGTGTTGATGGAGTATTTCAGTTTCTTTTTTTTTTTTTTTTTANGTTGCTCATTTGTATTTCATTTGTAGCAGCCAAAGGATTGCGGTTTTTTTATTGGATTGATCCGGCATTGCCCGACTTCCAGAAGTCATGTTTTTTCTTGTGTTAATTACCGAATCACATGTCAAAATTGAAGAAAACCAAAAAAAGGGCTTTGTATTGTGGTGAATCTCCAGGAACGCAACCCTAATTTTACAGAGTTAATTGTGATTCAGAGTGAATAAATCGATTTGTATTTGTAAGTTACACTTTTACAATTTTACCCTTTTTGTGTTGTGTGTGTGTGACAGTGTGGCATCCTCGTCAGTGAAGTGTGAGGACACGTGAGATGGTCTTCCCGGACACGTAGGCACGGAGCTCGCTGCCGATCAACTTTGGGTTCGGGTTGCAAATTTTAAAAAATGTTGCGATTTGTTTGCAATTACCTTAAAGTTGGGTTTAAAATGCAAAAAGCTTAAAGGTCATGGTTTTATCTGCAATTAAGCCTATTTTTTTTGCTGCGTTTTTTATCTAGTATATCCATAATTGTTTAACTTATCTTCAGTAAATAAGCAAATAAGTTTTCAAATATATATATATATATATATATATATATATATATATATATATATGTGCAATTATTTAAGAAGAGCCACGGTATATATGCAATTTTTTATGAAGTCTTATTCATTTTCCAATGTATATATACATTTTCGAACTACTTTTGTCAATTGGGATCCAACTGAAGCTTCGGGTCTAATCTGATAAAAGTGAAGTAATTGATACCAGTTGAAACTATGTTTATTAATTTGGAAAAATGAGCAAGCTTGGAAAAATTATGCTAACTTCAAACGTTTTATAGATGTTACATCGTCTATGCAAGTTTTTACAATCTGTAAAAGTGAAAGAAATCAAAATAATTATGCAATTAGTCATAATCAATCCTATATAACAAACAAGTATCGTACGAGTTCCATCAAAATATCAAATGAAACAAACAAAATATTGATAGTTCATACAGTACAATTCGATCTCGAGCCTAAAATATCACAAATTTATGAATACATACTTAAATTAAGAAATGACATCCTTTGATTTATATTATTTTTAAAGTATGACATCACATATAAAAAATATGAATATCTATTGAAAAATATATCTGTCCAACCGTTAGCATGCCTAACAGCAGCTCTAAGATTAAATTATCAACCAACCATATCCAAGAACACAAACAGTTTATGTGATTATTTATCCTAGTCTCCAATAATACTACTCCATGTTAAGAATGTAACATAAAAATGTGACAAAATTAATTAAAAATGATTAGTAGTTAAAATATATGAATCAATAAATAATGAATTTTGTTAATATGATTTATTAAGATGACAGATTGATATTATTTAATAATATTGGTGAAACACAAGAGAATTAAATTGAAATAAAATTGAGTTGCATTTGAAATAATTTTTTCAAAAAAATTACGTAGATAAAATCTATTTCCAATTGCATGCACCAAGTATTCAACTTTCCAAGTCATGGCCAAACAGCAGAACAAACCTGCATCTGTTCTATAATCATTAACAGGTCTTTCAAGCCATATGGTTTTT